TTAACATTTGAGTTCCTTTTATTTCAAGATTTTCTTATTTATTTATTTTTTCTTTTCTTTGAGCCAGGTCTCACTATGTAGCCCAGGCTGCCCTTGAACTCTGGGTAGAATACCTTGAACTCATGATCCTCTTGCTTCAGCCTCCCAAGTGCTGAGATTACAGTATATGCCATCACTCCCAGATAAAAACATTTTTTTGGAAAATATGTATTTTCATTTTATTATTTTTATTTTATGTGTACGCGTGTATTGCCTGTACATAGGTAAGTGCACCCATGACGTACAATGCCTGAGGACAGAAGAGGCTGTCGGATCCCCTGGAACTGGAGTTACAGACAGTTGTTAGCTGCCATGTGGGTGCTGGGATTTGAACTCAGGTCTTCTGCAAGAACAGCCAGTGTTCTTAACCGCTGAGCCATCTCTCCAGCCCCCCAAAAAATATTTTTATTTTTAATTATGTTCTTGTGTATCTGTGTCTGTGTGCATGGGAGTGCAGGTACCCAAGAGGCTAGAGGTGTCAGATTCCCTGGAGCTGGAGTTACAAGTGCTTGTGGGCCACCTAGCATGGTTGCTGAGAATCTACCCGATTCTCTGCAAGACAGTATGTGCCAGTGTAGCCATCTCTCCAGCTTCTCAGTTAAATCTTTTTTCGTAATTAAATGCATTTATAGGATAATCTCACCCTCTTTTGGACAGTTCTGGAGATTGAATTCAGGTCCTACCACATATTTGACAACCACTCCACATCAGCCTGACTTCAAAACTAGCAATCCTCCTGCCTTAGCCTCCTCAGCACTAGAGTAACAGGTGCACCACCACATCTGGCCAGCTCCACTTTTAACAAGACACGGCCATTGCCTCTCCTCCCTGTACATCTACCAAGTGAGGACCACCTGCTTCTGCTATGTGCCAGCTCCATACACCTCCTGAAGAATGCTTCAGCAAAGCCACAAGCACTTGCCCACAGGAAAAGTATGTCAGTGTCACTTCCAGGTGATAGGAAACCATCCATGAAGTGAAATAACTTTAAGAACAACATACCCAAATAAAGTTTTCTTGATGATCTGGTATGACCATCTCATCACATGGGTGCTATATTTCAGTAATCTACTTCCATTGTGTAAATACCCTAAGATCCTTTTTGGAAGCAGTGGAGATATAAAGTTGAGTAACATTCACACTCACCCTCCTTTTTCTTGCATTCATTTTTTGTTTTGACTCTTTGACAAAGGCATTATAGGATGGGACCTCTCTGGCATCAATAGCTTGTTGAATGATGTTCCTTATCCTGGGTTCCTCTGTGTACTGCACACAAAGCACAGATTCCATGATCTGGTCCATGTCGCCCTTGAAGTCCAGATAGGCCTGTTTAATATCAGCCAGCTCTTCTTCAGAACCTTTGTATGTTTTTTCAAAAGCTTGAATGTCCTCTAGAGATATCTAGTAACAAGGAAGACTGCTTTAACTTCGGGAATTTTACATGTCGACTGAATGATGGGAGTTGTTCAAGCGGCCTCCCAAGCCATATACCTTTTTAAACAGCAACTTCCAATACGCCTCCCAGTCCCGGTCCTGGCTGGGCCCAGCAGAGTCCTCATCCACTGTCCCCTGCTCATCGTACACTGCTCTCTGCTCTTTGTCACTTAGAACCGCATAGACTCTCCCGAGAATCTGCAGGAAAAGCATCCAAAGTCCCCCTGAATTCCCAATGCCACCGTGTGCCAGAATGTGAAAACGCCAGGCCAAGGGGCTGCACCACAGACCCGCAAAAGCCCGGCGGCGGTGCGACGGCCGGCGCCAACCCACGTACCTGGAAGCGGCGGGTGGCATCCTCCTTCTGGCCCGCGTCCACCCGGTCGGGGTGCACTTGCAGGGACACCTTGTGGTAGCCGCGGCGGACCTCGCCGTCGGAAGCCTCGCGCCGCACGCCCAGCACCCGGTACAGGTCGGCGGTGCGGAACTCCTGCTCGCACAGCTCCAGCAGCCCCATGCCGGGCGACGCAGTTCCGCCAAAGCCGCAGGGAGCCTGTCCAAGCGGCTGCCGCGTCCGCCTAGGCCTTTTCCCGCCCAAAGAGCCCAGGGCGCCTGCGTCATAGGAGGCGCGGCGGGGGTGGGGCCAGCAGGGCCCGCGCGCTTTGCGGCGGCAGTAAAGCGGACGTGGTCATGGCTCCGCCTGCGAAGGAGTGCTGGCGGCGGGGCGGTGCTAGGGTGGAAGCCCGCCTTCCGGGTCCCCACAGCCGCGCCTCCCCTACGCTAGAAGTAGGGTGCCGGGCTTTCTCAGGGTCTGGCGTGGAAGCGTGCTCAGACATGATACGTGCACGTCAGCCGAAAGGTTCTCTCCTAACAGAAAGAAGCAAAAGGGCTGGCCAGATGCCCACCGGCCTGGGCACTTGCCGCGAGACCTGACAGCCCGGGTTCGGTTCCCGGGTGCCCAAGATGGTAGGCGCGCACTGCCACGCCCCCAACCGCATCACCCAAAATAAGTAAATTAATGTAATGACAAGGTTTTAAAGTGGTCTGTTTTAAAGTGGTCGAAATTTCACATGGCTCATCCTAAAGGCTGAGCTTTGTTTTCTTCTAAGGTGACCGATCCTCAAAGCGTCACAGCTACAGGCTCAAGAGACTACCCACAGTAAGGGCTGCTGGAATATTGCTCTCTCTGGACCCATGCAGGAAGAAGCCTAAACATATACATACATACATACATACATACATACATACATACACACACACACAAAAAAAAAAAACTTTTGCCGGGCGTGGTGGCGCACGCATTACTTTAATCCCAGCACTTGGGAGGCAGAGGCAGGCGGATCTTTGTGAGTTCGAGGCCAGCCTGGTCTACATGGTGAGTTCCAGGACAGCTGGGGCTACAAGGAGACCCTGTCTCAAAAAAGACAAAACAAAAAACAAAACCTTTTAATATGACAAGGATTTGACATTAGAATTAATCCCACCCACCTGCTCCGTCACCGAAAACAATTGGGGGGAAATAATGACTTGACAGCTTATCTTAAAAACCCAAGCTGGAGCCAGGCATGGTGGCGCATGCTTTTAGTCCTAGCATTTGGGAGGCAGAGGCAGGCAGATTGTTGTGAGTTCAAGGCCAGCTTGGTCTACATGGTGAGTTCCAGGACAGCTGGGGCTACAAGGAGACCGTCTCAAAAAGACAAAAAAAAACCAAGCTGGGAAGACAGCTTGCTGGCTAGTCTAGCCAACTTGTGAGTACAAGTTTCAGTAAGACACCCTGTCTCACAAGATAAGGTGAGATAAGCCCTCTACAGGTCTCTTGTACCTCAGTCATTTGTGCTTCTGGCTGTAGAATCCTAGAGTGCTGGTAAGACAGATATTATATTTTATTTCATACACTCTGCAATCTATATTCCCAAACTCACAATACCTAAATGATTCACTGGCTTTCTTTTGTATAAGGTGTGTATCTGGGCACATTGCTGTGTGGATATGGGCCATGTACATGCCTCAGTACACATGTGGCAGAGTACAACCTCAGGTCCTTACTTTCTACTTTGAGTCAAGGTCTCCTCTACTGTTGTCCACTGTGCACACCAGGCTAGCTGCCTGTGAGCTTCTACACAATCTCCCATTTCTGCCACCCTTTTCTTCACAGGAGTGCTAGCATTATAGGCTCTTCTGCTTCCTGTTCGGCTTTTAGGTGAATTCTGGGGATTTGAACTCAGGACCTCACAACTGTGCAGCAATGTGCTTTGAGCCATCTCCTCAGCCTGTATTACTTTTTAAGTACTTTTGTAAAGCCCTCTACCATTTTTTTCCCCTCATGTAAACAACATTCTCATTGGAAGAGATTTTGTGGATCGGCACATAGGGATCTAAATCATATAAAACTAAAGTTTCCACATCCTGAACCAAAGCTTCCTTATCTGAAAAAATACAATCTGATTTATTCATGATGCTTTATAATTCTCACAACTTTGCAAGAGTATTGGGTATATGATGGTATGCAGTATTAGCTTCCTCCTAATTTTTCATTCTTAATGTAGGCTTATTATAGCTCTGAAGTGACTTTTACAATCCATCTTTGTAAATGTTAATTATGTGTCAAGAAAACAATGTAGACCTCCAATTACACAAACAATAAGGTAACTTTTCTTGAAGCTTGTGGGATGATTATGATTAAAGAAACATTTGGGCCAGGCATAGTGGCTCTAGCCTGTAATCCCAGCACTCAGGAAGCAAGTTCAAGGTCAGCTTGGTCTACATAACAGGATCCATACCAGCCAGGGCTACAGTGAGAGTATGTTATCTTAAAGGAAATGTGGGGCTGGAGAAACGACTCAGTAGGTAAGAGGGCTGGCTGCTCTTGCAGAGGACCAGGTTCAATTCCCAGCACCCACGTGGCAGCTAACAAGCATCCTAATTCCAGTTCCAGGGGAATCTGACATCCTCTTCTGACCTCTGCAGGCACTGCACAATGAAAGTGCACTCAGATATATGCAAGCAATACACTCATACACATAAAAACTAAAAATAAAATAAGGAAATGTTTGGCGCTTAGTGATTAAGAGCAGTGCCTGCTCTTCTAGGGGACATGGGTTCCGTTCCAGCATTTTCAAGGTGTCTAACAACTGCCAGTTACTCCAGTTCTGGTGTCCATGGGCAGTGCATGCGTATGGGGCACTGCAGGCAAAATGCTCATACATAAAATTTTTAAAAAATTTGAGAGGCCGGGCGCGGTGGCAGCACTCCTGAGGCAGAGGCAGGTGGATCTCTGTGAGTTCAAGGCCAGCCTGGTCTCCATAGCAAATCCAGGTCAGCTGGGGCTACAGGGAGACTCTATCTCAAAGACAAAAAAAAAAAAAAAAAAATTTTAAGAGTCCCAGGTGTGCTGCCACCCGCCTTTAATCCCAGCACTCAGGAGGCAGAGGCAGGCAGATCTGTGAGTTCCAGGCCAGCTGGGGCTACTGGGAGACACTGTCTTAAAACAGACCAAAAAAAAAAAAAAAAAAAGAGAAACGTCTGAATGGGCCAAGCACATTCCTGGTGAGGGCTTTGAAGCAGCTAAGCACTAGGAGGCAGGATACTGTAAAGCTGCCCAAGTGATCCAGGGCTCTCCAAAGTCCAGTCCTCCTTGCAGCTATTGATTCTGCCAAGATGAAGGCAGAAAAACCTAACAAGTTTCTACAGCCAGCTCTCAGGACGGACAAGAACAAACCTCTACCTGGCCCCTAGTCCAGCTAGGCAGACAAGCACAAGTGACTTGGAAAATGCCCTTTATTGACCCTCAAACCCAACAGCTCTACACAAGGGTTTTGAGGCCCTTGACTTGCACTCGTGGCTGTGTTCACTGAGTCAGTGTGCTTCTGTTTTTTCTGTAGGCTCTGTGTCTGTTTCCTGAGAAGCTAGGACTTCACGTGCCCTCTTTCTTCGTAGTCTCTCAGCATTTGTGATCATCATGGGATGTAGAGGGAAAAAGCCGGAAAGACCTGAAAGCAACAGGATTCTCGTTAAGCTATGGTACAAACCAGTGCTTCCCTGGGAATTCTGCCTCACAGAATCGAGATCCAAGACTTGAGCAGAGCATGGAGTGTAGATGTAAACTCCGCTCCTGACTTGCCAAACTGGCTTCCCCGCTCTCACTGCAGGAAGATGGTGGGCGTGTGCTTCCTGACACAACTCTCCTTACTGGGAGAAAAAAAGTACATTGAGAGCTGGACATCCAAGACCCATTAGTTCCATTTTTAGGACAAAATTCAAGTCGCTCCAACAAAAGTGGTCTCCAGATTAAAAATGTCAATCAACGAAATCACTTTAGTTTCCTCGCCTATGAGGGTGTCCTGGGGAATGGAAATCCTCCATTTCCCTGACCTCATACAACACCCCTTAGCCTACGGTCTCAGATCAGGGATTACCCAGAAGTTTCTCCATGGGTTTAGAGAGGTGAGCCCCACAGCCAATCCAGTGCCGGATCCTGACCAGGTTGAGGGCCACCAGCTTCTCCCCATTGCTGTTGGGCAGTGGGTCGTAGGAGCCCAGCTGCTCCACGAAGCGGCCATCCCGGGGACACTTGTTGTGCGCCGCTACGATCCGGTAGAAGGGTCGGTTGGCGCAGCCGCCCCGCGCAAGGCGGATGGTCAGGTGGCCTCCGCGGTAGGCTTTGCAGAGGGCGGGGGCTGTGGAGAAAGACCAGGTCAACACACAGGCTCGGCGAGCGCAACTGCCACGCGAGGCCCGCACACAGCCCTCCTCCTTCCGCGGCAGGGCCGTCGCTTAATCGATGGGCTCAGGTGCCGCTGCTGGCCTGCCGAAGGTGCGTTTCCTTTCCCCCGCCTCACAACCTGTCACTAACGGCTGTGACTTGGTCGTACCCTCGACTGGGCGGCCTCATCTGTTACACGCTTGCAGGGGCCAGCCTGGTCTTACACAGCGAGTTCCAGGCCAGCCGGGGCTACGTAGCGAGACGCTCTCTCAAACGCATCAGAGGACTCCGGTAAAAGCCGGGAGGGGCAGGCTGGGCGGCGGGCCGCAGCCGGCAGCCGGGTTCCGTCGGCCGTCCGCGCCCAGGCCGGCGCCCACCTGAGGAGACCTGAGGCACCCCAGCCCGCGCCGCCCGGCAGTCCCCGCGGACTCACTGAGGTGGACCATGGTGCGGCACAGGTCAGCTCCACCGCCTGGGTGCGCCCCCCGACCCCGCCGGGACCGCAGCGTCCAAGGAGCGCGAAAGCCGGACTGCTGGAGCCGCTGGCCGCTCGCCCCGCCCCTTCCGCTTTCCCTCCAACACTAGTGGCTCGGAGCCCCGCTCGCCTCGCCCCTTCCGCTTCCCCTCCTAGTAGGCGCACCCTGGAGTCTCCCGGCGCTGCCTGAACTCTGGCAGCCCTGGAGGTGCGGGATGTTAAGATCCCAGCCTGTCCACACGACCCATGAGTGCTCAGCAAAACGCCCTCCCTGAGCTGATTTGGAGCCTTACTAGGCTGCGGTTGAGTGCTCAGGTCATTCAGCCCGGTGGGCAGGGCGGGTGCACGCTGAGCCGCCCTGGAGCCGAGAGGCGAGGCTAGCCCTCCTGGGATTGGGGGATGCGGGGGAACCCCACAGTGGTCTGACAGGAGCAGGGTTACAAGGAACTAGTTTATTTCCTGTTTCCCTGTTCGTGAATGTGCGTCTTACCTTCCCATAGTCTCCCGACTTTGCCAAAACATGTCCCGAGAGGGTGAGGGGCAAGGATGAAGTGATGTTGAATTTTTTCTAAGTGAGGGTTTTGTTTTTTGTTTTTTGTTTTTTTTTTTAATTTTTATTGTGATCCAACTTACTGTCAACAGCCAATGGAAATAGCTAGGTTTCATATATTGACAATTTGGGACGGAAATATACCCAGAGTCCCATATCAAAAAGTCTTCACTTGAAAGGGTGTCAGAAAGATGGATTTCCAAAACCAACCATTTCCTGGACAGTGTGGATTTCTGCAAGCAGAGCTTCATCTTTCAGTTTCAACTGTAAAAACAAGGCAGGGAAAAACAAGTCATATCTGACACACCTGTGTACTTTGAAGACACCCCCCCTCAATTTTTGAGACTACAGATTTGTGGGGATGGCATGGGCTTTTCCTGTATTCTCTACATCATGGAAGCTCTGTTAAGACCTTAGAAGGTTGATTTAGTTACACAGGTGGAAGTTCACTTTGTGACAATGGAGCAAGTATTATGAACTCTCACCATCGGTACATTATTAGTATGGTAAGGTTATCAAAGCTTATCTTTTTAAGTATTCACATTAACACCAACTATCTCTTCAATGACGTGTAGTATTCCCATTTTTCAGTTGAAAGCAAAGATACAGGAAATCAGACGTATTTGAAATTTAAACTCGAGATAAATGTGTGCACAGACACCTAGTAGTTTACCGAATACCCATTCTCACACCCAAACTTTTTAGTTTCCTTAAGATGTTTTAAGAGGTTTTTAAAATTTATTTAATAACCACATGATTAGAAGCATTTCTTACAACTTTAACATATTCAGTAACAATTTCCATAGCAAAGATACATCTCTTTCAAAAGTGGCTTGTAAATATTTTTAGGTTCACAGTTGAATTAACAGAGATACAATATTGAACTCGGTATAAACCCTGTAAGACATAACATTGAATGAGTTTTTAACCTTTAAGATCGCCATTTCATTTTTAAATACACTGTTTCCTACAGAAAGACTTATTTTTATTCCTATTAACGCTTAGATGTTTGCACATGTGTCTCTAATCTCTATATATCTGATTATTACTAGTCATAGTCTGTTACACTTGGATCCTTAGCACCTGAACATATAGAATATGAAGTCATTAGGTAGATTTCAATGGTAATGTTTTTCACATCTACTAATTAACATTAAGTAAATTTTTATGCTTCCTCCTCAAATATAACTCATTTGTTGATTTTTTGTCTGTGTATATCATAAAGAACATCCCAAACAATCTTATTCATCGATATACCCATTTCCCAAATGGCACCCTCCCATAGCCCCCCCCAACTGGAGCCCATATACTCTGTCATCGCCATTACTGTTCACTGTGTTGTCAGTGCCCCTAGCTGTTCCCCAGAGCTTGTCCGTCTGCTGAATCTAGTCAGCCTATCTAGAGAGCCTTGTTTTAAGATCAGCTGTTCCTCATCTAGCAGCAATCAGTTGTCAATATTCCTTTAGATAAGATTGGAGTCTGCTGTTCATTTTCCTAGGTCTTTGCTGGGTTACTGTCTGGGAGTCTCTTGGGCCACCCTGGCCAACAACTCAAAGGAAGGGATCTCCTGTCTGGCATTGTTGCTTGTTATGTAGCCTTTAGCTACACATATGGACTCTTAAAAAATTATATTGACCCCTTTAATCTTTGGTTATACTTTCCTTTTGGGTGTTTAAGATCCTACAGTTGGCCCAGATAAACCAATTTATATTTACTCTTAAGGCTATTTGAGGATCTGCTCCTCAGGAGTCACATGGGCTTGGGAGGAACCCCCTGGCTCCTTTTACCAATTCCATCTGTGTGAAGATAAGTCAAAGGTCCTACTCGACCATGGCTGGCTTCACTTGGAAGCATGGAGGAAATGTTTTCTCTGTGTTGACCCACCCCCCCTTTGTAGAATGGACACTGGTTCAAGTCCATTTGGTGGGGTCTCCACGGCCTCTTTGATCAAGAGGACAGGTGACTCACTGCAGTTACAG